GCTGAGCGCCCGCTGGGCCCGGTGCGGTTTCAGTGCAGCGGCGGCTGCGGGCAGGGCAGGATGATCCGGCACGTGTACTGCAAAACCAGCGACGGGCGGGTGGTGCCAGAGTCACAGTGCAACCTGGAGACGAAGCCGCTGGCCATCCACCCCTGCGGGGACAAGAACTGCCCCTCGCACTGGCTGGCACAGGACTGGGAGCGGGTAAGTGCAGCCCCTCACCCCGGGCTGGGGAGGGCTCGGAGCCGGGGCTTGGTTTTGGGGGGGTGGTGGAGGGTGGATGCTCTGCAGCGGGGTCAGGCAGGGGTGTGTGGGTCTTGTGTCCCCACAGTGCAACACCACGTGCGGCCGGGGTGTGAAGAAGAGGATCGTGCTCTGCCTGGAGATCGTCAACGGCAAGATCAAGACCCGTAACCCCGCTGACTGCGATGTCACCAAGAAGCCCGTGGAGGAGACGACGTGCTTCGAGCGGCCGTGCTTCAAGTGGTACACGACCCCCTGGTCAGAGGTGAGTGGGGAGGGAACTGAGGGCAGCTCAGGGGATCCGTGGGAGGGAGGTGGAGGAAAAATGCCCTTCCTTCAAAATGCGCTTGCCTTGTGTGTTGTGCCCCATCCCTTCATACCAAGGGCTACACCACCTGCAAAATACCCCAAGGAGATGGGCAAATCTCTGCAGGACACAGCCCCTGAGGGAGCACCTGGGGGGCAGCTCGGGGCAGAGAGCTTGTCCTGCCAGTGGGGACTGGCTGTGCTCAGGGAGAACAGGAATAAGAAGTGGTGTTTGGGGTCAGCTTTGGCTTTTTTTCTCTTTTCTTTCCCCTCCCACTTCTTCTCCCCTTATCCTGCAGACACAGATGGGGTGTGTATGGAATCCTGGGGACGCAGAGGTTGGGGACAGCATTTGCCCCAGCACCCTGCATGGTCTGCAGATGCAAGCCAGGGTTTGGCAGCCGTGGGGACGAGCCCAGTGAGTGTGGGCAAGGAGCTGTGAAAGGCAGTAGCCAGCTCCCTGACGCAGCCCTCCTCATCCATGCTCCAGGCGCCTCATTTTGTTTAGTCTTGCAAACCATTGTTGCAGCCTATAATTAGCTAAAGCAGCCCTGCTGTAATCCCAGCCTGACGAGGCATCCAAAGGGCAGCAGGCAGCGAGCATCAGGCCCAGGAGCAGCTCTGCAAACCTCCAGCACGATGTGCGGAGATGCTGACCACTGGTGGGGGGTCCCATGGCCTCAGGGTGGCCACAGCCATGGAGCAGCGGATGGACCAGGCCAGCTCCTTTGTGGCCTTTTGCAGAGGGCAGCGGGAGGATCATGGTGCCGGGGAATGGGAACTCATCCACGTATCCCCAGGCAGAGGCTGCTGTGGGCAGCTGATGCTGCTGGCCCCAAACTCAGCGAGAGGCCAGCAGTGCAGGGCTCAGACATGGCAGTCAGTCAGGGGAAGAGTTTGCTCCCCTGCCCTGACGTCTCCAGCAAGCACAGCTTTTTTAGCAGCTCCTGGCTTTACACAGATCCCTGCCTCACCGCCTCTCTCTGTTCCCCAGTGTACAAAAACCTGCGGCATCGGCGTGAGGATGCGGGACGTGAAATGCTACCAAGGGAAGGACATTGTCCGGGGCTGCGACCCCCTGGTGAAGCCGGTGGGCAAACAGACCTGTGACCTGCAGCCCTGCCCCACGGAGCCCCCAGGTGAGCTGTGCTCTGCCAGCAGCACCCCTCAGCATTGATTTTTTTTTTTTTTTTACCAATCCCCCCTGCTCAACAAATCAGCATCCACTGACCCCTAATTTGATAGTCAGCCCAGGGAGGACATAAAGGGGACAGCTCTCCTTCTGTGCCCAAGTAACAGGGCACTGTGCACTGGCTATTTCTGGAGGTATCCCCGTTAAATTGAGGGGACAGTTCACAAGAAGCATGCTCTGACCTTAAGAAAAAAGGGAGCTTTAGAGAGCTGACTCGGGTGCTGCTTCTGTGTGATTCCAGCTAACATTTAGGAAGTTTTTTTCTGTGCCATTATTTTAATGATTTTTGGTCTCCAAATGTCCTGTGGGATTTGTAACTGTCTCGTTATCTGACTCATCTGCTGGCTCAAAGCCCCTGTGATCTTTAGTGAACACGCAGTTCTAATTCTTTAATAGGATTTGGGAATAAGGACAGTGTGGGAGAAAAGCATGAAAATGGGAGACAGATTTGGGGCTGGTTTTTGGCTCGGCTCTGGACCCGCTGGGTGCCCTCAGCTGACCTCTCCTGCAGGGTCTGGGATGCAGCGTGGTGCTTGCAAGGTGCCTCGTGGTCCTCTTGTAGCAAGGAGCCTGGTTTCATGCATCCTATGGATTTTAAGCAAAAAGTGTGTGTGTGTGTGTGTGTGTGTGTGTATATATATATATATATATATGTAACTAAATCCTATGGCTTTGAAGCAAAATATTGTTCTGAAAGGAGCTGGGAGAGTGTCACCGCAGTTTCTGCCACCCTCCCTCTCTCCAGCAGCTCACTTGCCCCAGACTCCTGCTGGAACATTGCTGGATTCCCCTTCCCCTTCTCACAGAGCCTTTTTGGGGCAGAAATAGTGAGTGTGGTGGGGTCACTCAGTGCCCCACCACGGGAGGCCATTGGCTTGGGGGCAGCTCAGTGCCAGCCTCCCTTGGTGACTCCAGCAATCCCCGGGCAGCTCCATTTTGTCGAGAACTTGAGGGCTGGGACCAAATAAGACTCCTCAGGCCAGGTGTGATGAAGCGGGTCAACCTTTTCATGCCTTTGCTTAGGCTGACAATGATATTTATGGAGAAGCTCCGTGGCCTCTGCTCTTCGTTGCGCAGCCTGTGGTGTTCAGGGCAGGCTGTCTATGGGGGGTAGAAATGAGCTCATGAGCTTACAGTGGTTTATTTTTTTGTTCTTTTCCATACCGATGCCTTTTTCCTTCTCCCTCCTAGACGACAGCTGCCAGGACCAGGCAGGAACCAACTGTGCTTTGGCCATCAAAGTCAACCTGTGCAGCCACTGGTACTACAGCAAAGCCTGCTGCCGCTCCTGCCGCGCACCCCACTCCTAGAACCCGGCAGCGCCTCCCTTAGCAAGGGCTCCCTATGCCATTTAGTAAGCACTACACATCCCACAGACTGGTGTTAAGGATGCTTTTGGGTTGTTTTCATTTTTTTTTGGTCCCCCCCCCCTACCGATGCAGAACTACTCTCCTCATCCCTCTCCTGGGTAGAGGGACAGTGCCGGCACGGCTCGGTGGCGAAGCCCTTACCGCTGTACATTGGTAGCCCCCGTTATCAGAGCTGTACATAAAGTCGTGTATATTTGATTGCCCCCAACTGCAGACACATGCATGTGTTTCACAAGGTCTTGTCCTTTTGGTTTCTTTCTTCTATGCAAGTTTGGGGTTGACGCGGGGAAGGTGTGAACTCCGAAGTGCAAGTTTCCCTTCATAAAAGGGGGTCAGTGCCTCTCTCCTAATTTATCCCCGAGACCTGCACGCTCTCATTAGCTGCGTTTAACATGGTGGGAAGCTGGTTTTTGTTTACTAAATGAACTCGAGCCTGAGCCCTTTTTTTTTGTAATATGTAGGTGTATACTTTTTCAGAGAATTTTATCTTATAATCAGATGTTAGTTCCATAGTCCTTACAACCCGCCCCGTAATGCTGACATATTGTATATAATATGGAAACATAACTGCACTTTATATCACAAAAAAGACGTGCTCTTTTTTAATATATTTGTTTACAGACAGTGAACTTTATCCATATAATCATTAATTTGTACTCATATGTATATTTTAATAAAGTTGTCATATTTATGGTGGTATCTTGTTTTATTCTCCAGTTTGTAGTGGGCATTTGCCCTGTGTGCTGGGACCACTGGAGTCAGGGCTGTGAACTTGCTGGTGCCTGGGGGGAGCAGAGCAGCTCAAAGTCAGGGAATCACAGCTGCTCAGGCAATGATGCAAGGAAAAGTCCTGGCAGTGGGGGGATTTTGGTTCTGTTGCTCTGTCTTACGGGCCCTTTGGGCTTGTGTGTGTGGCTTTAGGAACTGCAACCCTGCAGCGTCTCAAAGCAGAAGAGGTTTGATATGGTGCCAGTGTGAAAAGGGCCTTTCCATGCTCCCAAGGTGGGTTATTGCTCTGTGTTTCTGCAGGCACAACTCAGAGGCCAGGCCAAAGGCTCCTGTGTCTCCCTGTCCTAGGGTGTGCACCCCAGTTAGTGCTGCACTGCTCCCCTCAACAGCAGGGAAACTCCTGTGCATGTGTGAAAGCTTTGCAAACAACACCCCATGTTTGAAGATGCAGGGACAAAAGGCTCGGCCTCAAAACCCATCTCAAAGTAATTTATTTCTTCTTTTTTTTTTTTTTTTTTTTTTTTTTT